GATACTGAGTTGCCAAATTAATATATCTGAAAAATTGTTTATACTTCTTTTAAAATTGTCAAGAATTTACAAAAATACTAAAGTATACATTTTGTTGGTTTTGAATTGTAACATTGCTTAAAAGTAAATAGTACACTTAGGATTACTTATGATACATGAAAAACCTTAATAATAACCCCTACAACATCTAAGTGGTTAATTTCTGTATAAATATACCAGAAATTTAAGGTGTTTAGAGTACAAGAAAAACGTTTTTTGTGATATTCTAATTTCACTTATGTTTCAATTAATTATTTTATATGTTTTTGGCAAACTATTGTAAAGAAGCATAATTTAGTGTGGTATCCTTTATAGTGAAAGGAATAATTCTAACCTTGTAAGTCAGAGGCTATGAAGTTAGCAATGTGAAAATTCAAATTGAAGTTTAAAAATTAACTTTTAACTTCTGGCATTATTTCTTTGTGCATGTTCTGGACATGCAATATGTTTTAGTGTCTTGTGGCTTATGCCTTTATTTGTGGTATTCTTTAATTCCTAGTATTTTATTCATAGTGTATAGAAATCTGAATAATAAAGTAGGAGTTTTTGATAAAGGCAAACTATTTATTTATCAGTGAAAGAACATTTACACAGTATGATGATTTTACTTTGTTTTACATGACCTAGAATAACCTGAAGGAATACTTTCTAATGACATAAAAAAAAGAATAGATTAACAATTAAATCAGTTACTCAACATTAGAATAAAAGAATTAGAAACATTATTAATTTTGGAGACAAAAATAGATAGAGTTCTTTTTCCAATCGTGGCTTTGAAGATCATTAACTTCAGCAATAAAAAGCTTAACCTTTCATATACAAGGTGAAATGATTTAAGCTACTTATTCACATTCATTATGCTTAATAACCATCTATTTATACTCAAATGCAATAATCACTCAGTCGAAATTAATGTAACCATAGCCAGCAACAGTAAAATTTATTGTCTTACCAAACACTTTTGTCAGCATAATCTATCATTAATATTTTACATTTAAATCATTGTTTACACTAGATATCAGTGCTCTTTAAGATAGAAATCTTCACAAATTTCTTCAGTCAACCATTATGCTGCTTGTCACATAATTTATTAAACATTGATAATTAATGTATATCAATCCTTAAGAGGTAATATACCAAATTAGTATAAGATTAAAAAGTGTTAATTTTCCCTCTACAGCCAAATCAGCCACTTGTGTGTCTTGGGTACGTTGTCCTACATTATAATGAACAATGTAAATCCACAAATTATGCACAGGTAAGATATTTCTTACTTTAATAGTCAGTTAATTGTTAACATTTTTAAATGTTATAACCACTATAGAAAACATGGTATCAACATCTTAACCAGTTTTTTTTTTAATCCAATGGATTCATTGCTAAGTCTGTAATCAAGTCAGAAAAATATTCTTCAGAAATAGGTATCGGAATTAAAAATTAGGTAATAAATTTTAATACCCCCCCCAAAAAAAAAATTGGATTTTTTATTGTGAAGTGATTGTAATAAGTTTGTATAGTTTGAGGGACATTCATTATTTAATAATTGCTTGAGTGAGAAATGTTGTAAGCTTACTACAGATTAAATCCACATACTAATGCCTATTGACTAATTTTTTTTAATCACTTAAAGAGATTAATATTGGATAGGATTACATGATTGTCATTTGTGAGTTCCTTCTAAGGGGTGTTGCAAAATAAATCACACTTTTTTCATCACTCATGCAAAAACTTTTGAATCATGGTGCTCACTCAGGTTCGTGATGCATATGCTGCCTTCAGGATGGCTCAGAAACTAGTCGCAGACATGCTCTGAGAATTCAAGTCTTCCAATTGACACAGCTCATTGCCAGATTTGAAAAATCCGATTAATGCTTCAAAAGTTTCAGAATTGCTGAATTTGAAAGAGTGGTCCGTGAAAAAGTGGTGGAATGTGGATTTGGAACTCTCCAGGTTTAAATCCTGCCAAAAAGGTTAAGAGATTTCATTCAACAATACATAGAATATATGTTGGACACTTAGCCTGAATGCAAGAGACACAAACGAGAAACCTTGATTCGTGTTCTCACTAATGTGCTCACAGAGACAGCCACAAAAACAGACATGTTTTTTGCGTTGCTGAAATCTTTTGCAAATCAATTAAAACTCGTGTTTGAGAACAATGGTGGCCCAATCAAGCAATATTGATATTTGGAATTACTTTTTTTGATTGAATTAAAATCTTATTTTACTTTGTTATGTTCTCAGGGAAAAAAGTGTGATTTATTTTGCAACACCCTTATGTGCTTGAAGGAAGATGAAGAATAATTGTGTGAATTAAGTAATTTCTTTAGAGGACAGTTATTAACTAATGTTTTTTTTACCATTAAAAAGATTGGTGTGGAGGCTAGTGCTGATAGGTATTGCAAGCTTTTTTTTTTCATCACACAGAACCAGTAACAAATTTGTATTTTATGAATAAATAATTTTTTTTTTTTTCATTTATGGTAAGTTCAGAAAGTAAAGAGCGGAGTGCTATTATTAAAATACCAAATCTTGTCAGATGTTATGATTATCAGTAAGAAAATGGCAGGGGAATATTGTTAAAATATTAACTTGGACTCTCTTTCAAGGTTTTTCTCTACCAGACAGCAATTGTCTAGCTATTGTGTGTTTATCATTGAGAATGTTGATAGTGAGAAGCAGAGCATTGTCAAAATGCAGCAAAGATTTTTCTTCAAGGTTTATTGATTTTTTTTTTTTTTACTTGGCAATGTATATTCTGTAACTATGTGTGTATATCTTTATAAATATTTATAGTAGAAGTGGAAGCTTCTGTAGCATACATGTACATAATCACCTCTCCTCTTCAATATTATAATTTTTAAATACCTGACAATTACATCTTATACAATGTGTTTGTGGTTTTTTATAGCAGGATCTTTATGATTATGTGGAAATATATTGTTGATAACGCTTAGTTAGCTTTCACAAGAGATTATATTTCATGGTCAAGTAGAAGTTGGTAAATTAATTGTATTACAGTAGTTGTTACTTTACAACTGCATGATAACTCTCATTGATATGAGTATAAGACCTGTATCTATACTTATCATTTTTTTTCTGGTAATGAGAATTTTCAACCAATTGACAGTTTTCCAACTTTTTAATGTTGCTAAGGTTCGTTCATGAGATTAACAATAAATTTGGGAGAAAGTCTGAAGAGGTAGGGGGTATACTTTATTGCCTGTTTTACTGTTCCAGTAACACTCAAAAATGAAACTTGCTCAAAATGGAGCTTTTAAAAGAAGCCTCAACATATTTCAACTCTGCAAAACAATGGCATATTCTTACATTTCAATATTTGGAATATAACTACCACAATGTTTGACTATTCATAATCTAGTTAACAAGTTTTCATGATCTTCTGAACTTTTACACACAACCTTTATACCTGATATGTAACAAGCTTATAAACTATGTTGCTCTACTATTTTGTTACCTAGAACTACTAAAAATAACTTGTAAGAATCAAATGACTAACTAAGTTTGGCTAACTTACTGTGAAATATAAGGCCATCATATCAATTAATTATTTTAAACAATTTCAGTCTTTTTTTGTCCTTTCACTGTTTTCATTCTGTCTTGACATTTAAATGATAACCACTAATGCATTAACAATGAATGAGAGATTGCTGTATACATCTAAGAATAGGTGTGAAAAGGGTATAGACTGTTTTTCAAAATTTTCTTTAACCAGACATAAAATGAATAGATAATAGGTACTTTTTAATTTGTGGTCAAAAATCCTTTTGGTATAAATAGTGTGAACACTATAGATATCAGAAATGCATATTTCTACACATTGTTTTTAACCAAAAAAAAAAAGAAAAAGAATTCTGTATCTTTCATGTTTTCTTAAAAGTTGAATATAAAGTTACACATTGTAACCTCTTAAATAGTTATGTATTTCAGATGCCAAACAGATTGTAGATATTTTCTGACTATCAAACTGGTTGTTTTTATATCCAGCTGACTCTTTTTAGCACGGGCTTAATCCTTGGGACCAACTTCTTAACCATTTTGTGCTTGTTTTCATGCTATAACTTTTAAATTAGTAAGCGTATGTCAATAAAATTTGGCAGACTATCATTAAACATTAAAATGCTTTCATACACAAAATATCAAATATTTTAATAATTCTGAAGGTTTAAGTATTGTTTTTATCATGCCTTTTTTTTCTTTTCGCATATTGGCTATCCAACATGTAAAGTAATTTTCATTTTAAGATTAAATATACTTTTATGCATCAGAAAATTTTCAAATTTCACATGTGAAATCTTTATAATGTCCAGGTAATTATCAAATGTTTCTTAAGAAAAAAACTATTTTGTCTGTTATTTTCACAAACAAATCTCTATGGGTTTGTCGATATGACCGATCTCATAACCACCATAAAAAATTAGGAAATGAATATAAATTATGCCTTTTTTTGTTCTAGAATGAACACAGATTATAACACAAAAACATAAATGTTTAAACTAAATAGCTTAAATCTCATAACATTATACATTTCTATATATTCATTATTTTTATTATATTCACCTTTCAGCCATGTCTGGCTAACAATACTGAAGTTACAATGATACAGCACATGTGCTCTCATGTTACCATATCCAATAATGTAAAACTGACCTTTAGTCTTTACAAAGTGACCTACTCTTGGCTGTACTTTAGTAGACTGGTATTTTGAGAAATAGTCACATTTCGATTAAACATTATATGTGTATATAGATTATTGCTATTTAGAAATAAGTTTATAAACCTATTTTTCTTAAAACATAGAACAGTAAATAAAGAAGTAAAGCAAACAATTATCTCTTCTAGTTACGACCTTTGTACTCAGATGCTGCTAAGCCTTTTAAAATTTAGCACGTGGAGAATATGAAACAAATTTTTTTTCGGTTTTATATATACAGTTAAATAACTAGAAAATCATAAATTACTATAATTATATTGATACCATAGAATTTCACTATAATTTATCAAGCTTAGTGACTAAGCTGTATTTCAGTCTAAAAAAATATGAAATTTCAAGCAGACTAAAGACACAATCTCCATTCTTGAAATCTTGGTTCTAAAGAAAGAGATAGTGTCCTAACACATGAATATTGCTAAGAAAGCCACTAGGGAACATTTTGAGCTTTCTAATGGTTATTCACATGTCATTTTATTGAAGTAAGTATATTTAAGGGACCATTTCCAAAAGTGGAAAGAGGTGGGTATCTGTGTTTGATTCATTGCATTAGTGATATATCAACAAAGAGAAAAGATAGGAGGTTCTGATTTTATATTCTAGCTTGTCAATATCAGTAAGTTGAGTACCTAATTTGTATGAAACTATAGACTTAGTATTTTGACATCACAGATATCTAATTTGAACCAGTGCTACATTCAGCATACCACATGACACACAAAAATTGATGTTTAGGTGTGTTTTTTAATATTTACTTTTAAATTAAGAAATTAAATAATGTATGATACTAAAATTTGAATTATAATATACAGTTTGATACCAAACTTATTGACATAAATTTTGAATATGAATCGACAAATGCAATGACATGTCCTTTGACCCATGACCCATCTGGAGAGGGTTAATTTGAAGTCATTCATAGTGTGATCTTCAGAAAATATTCACTAATATTTCCTGTAATAACCTCATATTTTTATTCAACTTAATTGAATGATCATTTATCAACTAGGAAAAATTTCATAAACTGTCTGTAGTATGAATTATTCTTGAAAACTGTGGTAATTTTTCTAATAGTATTATACTTCACTGTCGTACAATGTGTATATGACATTCTAAATTAAGAATAGCCTATTGTGGATGTACTGCTAAAGTTGTGTTGATGAAGTTTATTTTTTGTGGGTTTTCTATTTCTATTTAGCTATTCATTTACTGCTACTTAAATTTAAGATTTTTATTGTGTATTAACGTAATGCTAAAATTAGTATTCTTGATATGTTCTAATGTGTAATCCTTTCTCTAGAGGAGTGTTATTTGTTGCTCTACTCTACCTCTCCTCTCTTCACCTACTTCGATTGACTTATGACTATGGTGGTTGGACACTAGATATCACAGGGTAGGACATTTGAACAATATAAAATCAGGCTATTTTCTGTAATTTTTGTTGTATGTAAGTTCTATGATAAGCTAATAAAGAAATAAGACTACCAATATTGTTAAATGTTTTGTAGTAATTTAGATTTCTTTAAGTTTCAGCACTTATAATTTCAATGTTTAATATTTGGTGTTAGAGCTTTACTTTTTATTAAAATAAAAAGTAATTAATTAATTCAAAGTCTAATTTTTTAGACCTGTCATGATTGCAACTCAGAAAGTTAGCAGTGTGGCATTTAGTCTTCATGATGGATTAGCAAGGCCAGAAGAAAAACTTAGTCTGGACCAAAAGCGATATGCTCTTAGGTTAGTGGTTTATGAAAAATGTATTGTTCCATTTCTTACTCACTTTTTTCTGTCTTTGAAATCTATTCTATAATTGTTTCTGTTTTATTAAAAGCACTATTTCATCTATGTTTAATGTGATACTGATTTAGCTACCTTAGATTATAAATGTTCATTCAGAATATTGAACTTATAATTAATTATTAAAAATATACCATTTTTCCGATATGGTATCTTGTATCCTCTCACACAGTAGCTTTTCTTGTTCAGTGCTACCTTCTATATGCAAAATGTTTTCACATGTCATTACCCTTGAAACTCCCATATATCCATAATCAACATGGTTTACTGCGCCTTCGCATGTAAGTTATCATGTGGCAATCCTCCACCAATAGTAGTGCGAAACACCCTCCTGACACAAATTACTCCCTCTGTTTGATTCCACATGACCATCACTTCTCCTTAGGCAGTCATCATGCTCAGACATTCTACATTTTTGTGTGAATTTATGCAATACCTTTTTTTTTTTTTTTCGAAGTAGTACTTTCTTGTTTCTACAGTTCTTTGTTAAATTTAGTTTATTATCCAGTTAACTTACCTTCTTTTTTTTTCCTTTGGTTTGAGATTTTTATTTATTTTTTGTTACAGAAGTATGCCCCCTTTTAGGTCATGGATCCCACTCAGTGGTGAACATTGTCTGTCCAGGTGTACTTCTTTTCTCTAATTCATAAATTTCTGCAGTGAATGGTCGATTATAAGTCATACAGGGGTATATTAACTGCTGCCTAGTGCCTCTGATGCTCCACCTCTGTGTGGAGGGTCCCATAGGTTGATGTTGCATGGTCCTGGGTCTTTTTTTTTATCCTCTGAATTGTGGTAGCTCAGGTGGTCAGCTGGTGATACATGTGCTCCAGCTTCAGTGTGGTCTTATTTGGGAATGATGTTGCACAGGTTGCACCCTGCTACTCTAAGAGCTCCACCTCAGTGGAGTTGAGCCCAAGAGGATGGTGTTGCACAGGATAATGTGGCAAAGGTTGTATGGGATGTCACACTGAAGTTGTCTTGGAGTGGAGGCTGATCCCACCAATCTTGATGTATACCCATGGCCAGTAATGCACACTGTTGAAATGGGAGTTCCACAAGACTGCTAATAGATTTTCCTCACAGTATTTTGCTTCACACAATTGCCTGTTCCAGGCTGTACTAACCCATGGACTTTCATGGGTAAAGCAGAATGGGATTGCTGCCCATCCCTGCTATCCTTTTGGTTGAATAAATCAGGGATGGTCTGCTTTTCAAAATAGAGATTTCAGGGTCACCTACTGCACTGTCTCCGGTGTTGATGTTGCTCTGGACTCCCCAATGCATTCCCCCCTTTTTTCTAGTGGAATATAGGAGCCCTTGCCACTTACCAGTTCCTAGCCAATGTAGTGATGTACCATGGAAGCAACCTCCTGGATGTGCTCAATTACATTTAGTAGAGACTAGGGCAGTGTTATTCTACTGGTGTTGATGTTATAGATCCTCCACCTGACACAATAAAAGTATTGGAGTAGATCCGCCACATGCAGTCCCCCCCAGTTGGGATCCCTCATTCTACCATCAACTGGATGTTGTTTCCCAGCGAGTGATTTGGATTAAAGCAGAATCAACCAACTTAAGTCCTTACACATGTTGAATCAGGATTCCTCATCCTACAACAGTCACAAGGTTTGGCTTCATACACTCCATCTGTGTGTGATGGGTCCCAGAATTTTGTGTTGCATAGCCCCAGGTTGATTCACCCCAGGAATGTGGTTTCTCAGTATGTCAGCTGTTCAGTCGTGAGCTCCAGTTTCTATGTGGTCCTATCCAGAGTATGAGGTTGCATGGGGTACATGTAGTCCCTCCTGGCACTCCACCTCTGTGAGGTTGACACTTCTAGGCTGATGGTGTGCTTTGTGGATCTGGTTCAATTGGTTTTGGATTTGGAGTGAAATGCCTCACTGGCATGCCCCTTCCTACAATCATTTAGATGTCAGGTTTCCAGGTGTCTGGTATTGGTTGTGGATTGGTACACATGTACCCTATTTGGTTGAACTGTATGAAATTTTCTCCTCCAGTTCTATCCAATTTGTAAACCCTCCTCATACCATGAGTCAGACAATGCTTGATTTTGGACTGGAGTTGGCCTACCGCATACGGTCTGTTTTGCCCTAGCCATTCAACACTAAGGGACACAACCATTTTGACTTATCCTGGAATGTTTCTGGATATTTCAGTGGGATGTATGGCTAGACTTACCCAATATTTTTTTTTTTTTTTCCATTTCTTGGATGTGCTTCTCACAATTTCTGCCCATTTATACAACACGTACTACCACATTTGGCAAAGAATATATCTGGTTCATAAGTGGTGAGGTCTCTCGTATGTGTTCCTATCCTGATGGGGGTTCAAACTCCATTGATGTTCGTCAGATGCTTTCAAAAGATGTATATCTGTAGATCCCTTGCGCTGGTCCCTCCACAATTTCACTGTGGAACTCTAACTATTGTGTGAGGGAAGGTAAGACACATATTTGGAAGTTATTATTTTCCTCCATTGAAAATATATTTCCAATAGCTCATATTGGTGGAGGGTTATCGTATGATAATTTAAATGCAAAGATGCAGTAAATCCCATTGATTGTGAGGTAGATAGGAGCTTCAAAACTAGTGGCATGTGAAAAAATATTGCATACAGAGGACAGAACTGCAAGAGAAAAGATATTGTATGAAGGGAGGTAAGTATCTATCAGATATATATTTTTAGTGTAGGAAAATCTACAAAAGAGTTTATCATGCATGCATATTGAGACAACTATAACTGTTTTTCCTGTCCCATGTAGTCTTTTATAGTTTAGTGATGCTCTGGTTAGTTGACTTTTCCATAATATAAGAATAAACACACTAAGCATTAACATTGTTATTAGTTTATATTTATTTTGAATTAATTGTATACCTTTTTCTTTTTTTTTCCAAAACAGTATTACCTCCTGTCAAACAAAGCAATCTTGATCTCTGTTTGCCTTCTAAGTATTGGTAAAACAATTTTTGCAATCAGTGCACCAGTCTTTATACCCCATCAGTCTTGTACGATTTCAGAATATGTACATATTATGTGACAACTTTCCAACAATAGTATTGTGCCATCTATACTGGCACAGCTAACTCCCTCTGCTATTCCCACTGAAACCTCACTTTTTCAATTGGCACGGCATTGTTTAGACATCTGTTTTTTCGCATATGACTACCATTTATGAAGGTGCTTCTTTATCATTTCAATTCTTCACTTGTTTCAACGATTTTTTTTTTTGCATTTATTTCTTGTCACTGAATAACAAGAAATCGTAGTATGAATTGTCGATTAGTGTAAGTAATGACTTCCCAGGAATCAAGTTTGACTTTATTTGCTGAGAAGGTACAGGCCTTAATTCGCATTGAGCTCGATTCATACATTTGGTCAGTGATTTCTTCTTTTCACATGACAATATTTCTGAGGAAGAATATAATCAGTGAGTAGAGAATTTGGACTCTCTTTTATTGGAACCTTCCATAAGTTGGCATGCTGCCACATCATTCTCTTTGGTGAAGACTTGTTCTTCTTCCCAGGGGATCTGTGATAAGTTTTCAACATGTACACTTCACACCTGGTTGATATACTTGTGGTAGGCAGGGTTCAGATGCATTTTGTGTGGCTTTGCACTTATTTGCACATGGGAGAATTATGTCTTTCACACCATCAGTGCTCGGATGTTGATAAGTTAAATATTTATGTCATTTTTCACTAAGTTACTTTAGACGAATCGTAATTTAGATCTTGATTATTACTTTATATTTTTGGTCAGTTTGATTGTTTTACACATTTGTTAGCATTACGTACTTTGTAGACTTGGAAAGTTTCATGGTTTTGTTATTGATATGTACTTTACCTAGGTATATTTCGAGTTTTCAAGTTCTGGGCCCTACCTTTTGGACTAACCTCAGCTCTTTAAGTGTTTTGTTGGGGAGTACAAACTCCTGCATGACATATACATTTCAATGAGTCTTTGAACTCTTCCTTCTAGGGATGACTGCTCCTGCTTGCTTTCTCCCATTCACAGTCCAGAGACCACACTCCTCTGCTCCTACAGGATGCAGAATTAGTGGGATACCTGATGACAGGGTGGAAGTCAGTTCTTACCCCCTCTCAATATCCCATTCGGGAAGGTTTTTCTTTCCAAACTCAGTTGACCACTGCCTTCTCCTCTTCATCTTCAGTTGGGAGTGAGCAATTCACACATCCTTCAGTGGACACCCCTTGATCTGTAGAACTTCTCAAATCCCTGGCTTGGTGGTTAGACAAAGTCTGGACCACAGCAGGAGTACTGTATACTCCACCTCGTCCGGATTTACATCTGTTCACTTACTCATCTTTAGAGGGTTGGGGTTCTTATCTTTATTTCCTGAATATTTCCAGTCTTTGGTCGATCAAGGAGTCTTCTCTCCATGTCACACTTCTTGAGCCTTTGGTAGTTTATTGAGCTATGTCCCACTTACTTCCTCTTCTACAGGAGATGGTGGTTATGGTATATTCTGACATCTCTACAGTGGTCACTTATATCACTGAGCCAGGGGGTATCAATTCCAGGTTTTTGTCTTTCAGGTCCTGGATCTCCTTTCTGGGCGTACAGTCACCACATTATGGTCTTTGCTTGCCCTTTTCCTGGCTCCCTGAATCTGATGATGGATCATTTATCTTCTTCCAACAAGATTCTCCTCAAGGAGTGGTCCCTCATTACACAGATGTATTCTCACTGTTGTCATTTATGCCTTTTCTTATCCTCCATTTAAACTTTTGTGTTTCTGTTCCATTTACCTTCTCTCCATTGGGGCCTGTTTTGTACTCTTTCTTGCTTTTGGTTGTTTTCATTCATCCTATGCCTTTAATGGTACCAGCATCCATTTCCCATTCCTCCTATGTCGTCCTCTATCCCAACCAGTCCTTTCTCCCTAAGACATATGCTGAAACTTTAAGTGGTTTGGTTTTCCTACCCATTTCCTCACCTTCTTTTTTTTCCACTAATTCTCCCATTCCGATTCTGTTTGGTTTCCTTGTCCAGTTCACTCCTTAAGGAGATATGTCATGTACTACCTTCTTTCAGGGTTTACATTCTCAACCTTTTATTTCCTGGAATCCTTCCATTTCCCATGCTCTGTCCTCTGTCACTCTTACTGGTTGGGTTCATTTACTTATTAGACTGGTGTATTTGGATTTATCCATGGAAGGACACCATCTCCGCAACATTCTTCTCATCAGATTTATCACATCACTTTGTACTTGGCTACACCACTTTGATATCCTTTGGAAGAGATCATTCAGGCCAGAATGTGGACTACTTTTGATACCATCGTTGCTCATTAGCTACATGACCTGGTTGTATCTTCCTCTAATAGGTAGCGTCAACCTCACGTGGTGATTCCAAAAACGTCAGTTCACCTTTGACTGTGATAAGTCTGATATCTTTCTTTCTTTTATGTTTTTTTTTCAGCTTCCCTAATTGTAATCTACTTTATGGATCCCACCTTTTGGCAGGTGTGCTTTGCCTCAAATGCTCACTAGTTTCAAGTAACTATGTAACACTCACTGTAGAGATGGAGTGTTTCTGTAAGACCACTGGCTATTTACACAGTGGTGTATATATATATATATATATATCTGTACTAGATATCAATCAATTTCAGTCTTTAGTGGACTGTTACTCATGGAGTTCAAGAGTAAAACAGAATTCTACCAATTCCTCCTAACCCTTTGATTGCATACATCGGGGTTGGTCTGCTTTTCAAAATAGAAAATTGCAGGCACCCATTGTACAGTCTCCAGTGTAATGTTTCTCCAGACTCCCTACCACCCCTCCCCCATTTTTTTTTCTTCTTCTGGTGGAGCACAGGAATCCTTACCACTCCCAGTTCCCAGTCACTGAGGTGGTGGACCATGGAGGTTTCCTCTTGAGTGATTTTCAATGTTTACTTTACAATAGTCATGTTTATTGACTTAGTGAGAAGAGGACGAAGCTGGTTAAACTACTTCTAGACAAAGTAACTTCATCAATTGATAATGCATTTCCCTTGGATGTTTTTGCCTGTGTGGAATGCACTAGACAAAATAATTTAATCAATTTATAATGCTTTTCTTGGATGTTTTTTGCCTGGGTAGGCCACACTAGACAAAATGACATACTCAATTTATATTGCATTTCCTCCAGATGTTTTTGCCCGGGTAAACTACACTAGGCAAACTAACTTAATCCACTGATGATGCATTTCCTCTGGATTTTTTTTGTCTGAATGGACTGCACTAGCCAATATACCTTCATCAATTCATAATAATGAACATAGCACCATCCCTACTTGCAATTCCCCTAGATGTTTTGGTTCAGGTGGACCACACTAGCCACTATACTTTCTCCACTTTTTAATACAAAAGATATTCTACTTGAGTTTTCCCAGGATGTTTTTGCTCAGGCATGCCTCACTAGATACCTAGCTCATTCTGTTATATCTTGCTACAGCTTTCACCTATCTGACATCAACATCTATGGGTCACTGCAAACGTTTCTGGCTAGGTTTTTAACACAGGTACACAATCCTGTGACAAACAAAACATATATGTTCTTCAGCACGTACAGTAATACAATCACTTGTCTAGAGCTGTACAAGTTATTACTGCATTCAATTGTGCCAGTATGTTCATTTCTGCCTATTTTATGTTACTTTCCTATTTCCTACAAAGAGCATATCTATTCCAGAAGTACTGCAGAACTCATTCACTTGCCCCCCCCCCCTGCTCCCATATCAGTGTTTTTATGTTCATACCTACCAATTCTCAAAAATTAAGATTAAATGGGAATAACTGAGGGAGATAGCTGTACCAGAATAGATGACACAATACTATTGGTAGAGAGTATTCACATGATATCTACATGGTGTGAAACTGATGGGGAATAAATACTGATTGCAAAAATATTTTTACCTGTGCTTGGAGGGCAAACAAGATTGATATATCTTTGTGTGAGGTGAGGTAAGTACCTATCACAAATACATTTTCAATGTAAGAAAATGTTAACTTTATAAAAATTTATTGGTGTTTTCAGACAAAGTCCATCAATGCTGGAGTTCTTCAGTTACATATTTCACTTTCAAGCTCTTATGTGTGGCCCTTTAATGTTTTACAAAGACTACATTGAATTTATTGAAGGAAAGCCTTACAACAGAGTCAAGCACCCTCAGGTAGGGTTCTCACAATGTACTATAATATATAAACATACATTATCTTAAATTGTTATTGATCAGTATATTTTTGTAGCTTATTTGTGAAAAGAAAGAGAACTAACAAATTATATAATAAGGATAAACTCAAGTAGTAGTATTCAAAGTTTCAAACTATAGCTACATAATTTTGATTTTGGACAGATCCTAGAAAGACATCTTCAATATTAGTAAAATTTGGGAAAAAATACATTGCTACTCATATTGGCATAAATATTTGGGTATATATAAGTAAGAAATGTGAATCCATGTTTAAAGTATCGGATGGTTTGGGAGAGAATAGTGTTGTAAGCTATGTTTTCATTATTTTAACTTAGATGTTTGCTAGAGGGTGCATGACATTAAGAATGAGAAAGTTCATAAAAGTAGTCATAGTATCTAGTAACTTCCCATAATTTGTAGACGTGAGAGGTCAGTATAAATTTAAGAATCAAAGGCTGCTCTAATAGTTTATGATCAAATAACAGTTGATTGAGTAAAGATGTTAAGAGTTTCTTTAAGCTAGTCAGCATTTGTTATAAATAATGGAAGTTTCTGTTGAATGTTATTGGTGAATTTAAACTTAAGGTAGTTTAAGTGTTTCTGTTAGTTAAATTTTGTATTTAAAATGAGGCCTATAGGTGGGTGTAGCTGTAGCCAACATTAATAAAGAAAGAAGTTAATTTATTATTTTTATGTGGACTGGATGTCAAGTTTTTAAGTATGTGTATGGGCTGGATTCTTTACCGTAGATGTCTGTGACTTGGAGATAAATTTC